AGGCCACAAGGGGAGACCACCTGACAAGGCCACCAGATGAGGCCACAAGGGGAGACCACTCAACAAGGCCACCAGATGAGGCCACCATGTGAGGCCAGTTCACAAAGACCTGTGGCTCTCAACAGGAGAATTTCTGTCCCCAGAGCAGTGTCTAGAGGCATTTGTGGTTGTCACAGCTGGGGAGGGGGTGCTACTGGCAAATCCATGAGGAAGAGGTGGACATCCGTCCAGGGGACTCTGCTTATGAGACATTTTCAACATATTTTTATCTACATAAAATTTAAAAATTTATCTGATATAAATTTTAAAAATATATTTGGGTACCTAATTTCTTGATTTTTCATTTACATGAAATGGTCAATTCTCTGACAGTTTATTAATCCAGTAATGTATGATATTGTGACTCTAGTGAAAAAGCAAACGACGTGAAAAAATAAATAGGGTAATTTATGACAATTTAACCTTTGCCCTCAACTTGTGTCCCCTCACATTTGTAAATAATTGCCTAATTTGTTCAAGGAAAATGTGTAAAGAATATTTAAGTCAGACAGGTTGAAGAACTATTTTTACTATAAGAAATCTTAGTAAGTTTTATGACGTAGTTCCCAATAGTAACACAACATCTGAACATCAAAAATAAAAGAAGAAAACTCCTTAAAAACATACAATTAATGAGGCTAAAACTCAGAGAAAATGCAATAAGTTTTAAGTTGTAATTCAAAATTAGCAAACTTTGGCATTCTATTCCTGTTAAGCTTCTGGACAACAAGCGTTTAAAAGACCACATGCTCCTCAGACAAAGATGTGGACACATCCCGTGCTGAGCACAGGAGTTCTTTGTGCTTTCCATCACTTTTATTATCTCAAGTTAAAAGCAAGTAAAAGAACAAAAGCATAGCTTTTTTTAAAAATGGAGTACATCTCAAAATAATGTGGATATCCTGTAAATCAAAGAGATTTTCATAAACTATCAGACTAGTTAGAAAGTTTGTGATTATAAGGTGGATATGAATCATTTTCTAACAAGCAGATTTTCTATTTACCAACTCTCTCGTGACAGCTGGAAAGTTCAGGATAGAGCTTGTGTTCATTTCTGTTACCTACAAAAAGATGGGGTGGGGGCAGAGATTTAGAACATGTGTTAGTACATAGCATATAAAATACACAAAAATGCCAAATCCTGCCCTTGACAGGAAAATATCACTATAAATCACTATAATTGTTAGAATTACCACTATTTCATTATGCTTTAAATCAAGAGGTATGCCTGAATAAACCCAGAAGACACACTACTGCAGACTGGGCTGTCTTCCCAAGGCTTCATGTGCTGGAGGCTTGGTCCCCACTGTGACACTGTTAAGAGGGTGGGAAATCCTATTATGCTAATTGAGAGGTGGGGCCTTGAAGACGTGATTAGCTTGTGAGAACCACACCGAAGTAAATGGATTAATCCATTGATGTTTTAATGGTGGTTGTGGGTGTGGTTCCGAAGGCATTAAAAGGAGAGCCCATGAGGAGTTTTAGCTCCCTGCTTCTGCCATTTCACCATGTGACACCCTGAATCCTTGTAGAGTTACCAGCAAGAACTAGGTCCTCACCAGATGTGTTCCCTGGACTTTGGACTTCCCAGCCTCTGAACTGTAAGAAACAAATTCTATATCTCCATAAATTACCCAGTTCTGGGTATTCTGTTATAAGCAACAGAGATGAAGTATATACCCATCAAGGA